AAGAAGCTCAGGGACAGACTCCAGGCCCACAGTTCAAGCTGCAGGACCACCAAAAAAAGAGAAAGAGTACAAAAGCATTCCTCCTACTTTTGTCTAACAGAATTTGTAAATGATTCTTCTTTTCCTTGAAGTATTTGCTAGCATTCACTATGAAACCATAAAGCCTCAGTGTTTTCTTTCTTTTTTAATGTATATGTTCGATGTAAATTTATAGTTTAGAAAGAAAATTTTTGTAAGTAATTTATATTTATATGTTTTATGTCTTATTAGATCCTATTCTGTATCTTTTAAGAAATTCACCAGTCTTATCTGTTGAGTTCATTGCCATAATAATGCTCATAACATTTCCTTATTCTCTTTGTATCATTATTATTTCTAGTGATCATCTTCACATGTGCAGTAGTTTTCATGGATTTTTCTATTTAAGTTATTTATTCTCCTTATTGTTCCTCCAACTTACTTTCTTTTTCATTCATCTTTCTTTTTCCTAATTTAAGATGAAGATATACATGACAGATTTTAAAACTTTTCTCCTTTTCTAATAAAGCCATTTAAAAGTATTAATTCTAGTAACCAGATCGTCACCAATAGTTTATTTACATACCACAAGTTTTCATTTTGATGTATTTTCACCATCATTTTTCTTAAGTGTTTTTATTTACATTTACTTGTGGATTCTTCTTGTACTGTTAAAATTACTCATAAGCATGAGGTTTCATTTTCAAACACTGGAGATATTTTTAATTTATTGTACTTACATTGATTTTAAAAATTAAGTCATTTGAAGCCAGATACCATCCTCTGTAAATTTCAATTTAAAAGCACATGAGCATTTATTTTATAGACCAGTATATAGTTCTTTTGGTAGATGCTTCATATACAACAGAAAATAAAGTATGTTGGCAATTTGGTTGTTAGTGTTATGTAATTTTCAAGTAGCGGGTACTTGTAATTAATGAGGTTAAGTTTGAATTTTTTTAATTTATGTTTTCTCTATTTTGGGGCACTATGTAAAACACATTATGAAACCTTCAGGTATGATCAGGAATTTGATTGTCTTTGTCTTCTCCTTCTCCTCCTTCTCCTTCTCCCCCTTCTCCTCCTCCTCCTCCTTCTCCCCCTCTCCCCTTTCTCCTCTTCCTCCTCTTTTTCCTCTTCCTCTTCCTCCTCATCTTCTTTCTCTTCCTTTTTTCCTCTTCCTTTTTTTCTCTTGTACTAGTATTTGGGCTTGAACTCAGAGCCTGGGTGCTCTCTTTTTTTCTTTTTCTTTATTTATTTTTGTTGCTGTTGGTCATGGGGTTTGAACTCTGGGCCTGGGCGCTGTCCCTCAGCTCTTCAGCTCAAGGCTAGCGCTCTACCACTTGAGCCACAGTGCCACTTCCAGCTTTATTCTGCTTATGTGGTGCTGAGGAATCAAACCCAGGGCCTCATGCATGCAAGGCAAGCACTCTATCACAGAGCTACCTTTCCAGCCCTTCTTTCCCCCCCGCCCCTCAAGGCTTTTACTCTATTGCTTGAGCCACAGCTGTACTTCTGAATTTTTGGTGGTTAATTGGAGATTAGAGTGTCATAGACTTTCCTGCCCAGCTGGTTTTGAAATGTGATCCTCAGATCTTAGACTCGAGTAGCTAGGATTACAAGTGTGAGCCATGGGCCTGTTTCTTCTGAAATTCTTCTTTAATTCTGTCAGTTTTGCTGCATGTACTTTGAAGCTGTACCTGTAGGCATGTGTACATTTAGAGAATGTTTTAGAGAATCTAGAGAATTTTTAAAAATCATTTTCTAATTTCTCTCATTTCTGTCAATATTCTTTATCCTGAGGCCTATTTTATGTGATAACACTATATCCTGAAGATCTTTCTTATACCTACTATTTTCTATCATTTCCCTCAACTTATTGATCCTTCCCACTAATTTGGTTCACAAGAAGCAAACACAGTGATGGAGATTTGTGTTTATTTGGGTTGTATATTAAACCTTTATAAGGAATGAAAGAAATGAGGTTGGACTGAATCATTGTTCTATCCTCCTATACCTGCTATGACATCAAGACTCTCAACTGCTCTTACAGGATGTCCTAGAGGAGATCTTTGAAGCAAGAGGGCATAATTTTCACAGCCTGAGTAGTCAGTAGATAAAGGCTGCTCCCAAAAGAATGTGGTCTTGGGTACAGTGACTCTTTTAGTTGAAGATGAGTCCTTGAAATCAAGAGTTGTTAATGGTCCTAGCAGCTATAACAATCCTATAGCTAGATGTCAATGCAGTTCCCTATGCACGTTTTCTTATATTTCAAATGCTATTTTTCCCCCGGTCCTGGGGCTTGAAGTTGTCCTGGGTGCTGTCCCTGATCTCCTTTTGCTCAAGGCTAGTACTTTACCACTTGAGCCACAGTGCCACTCCAGCTTCTTCTGGGATTAATTGGAGGTAAGAGTCTCATGGAGTTTCTTGCCTGGGCTGGCTTCAAACCACGATCTTCAGATCTCAGCCTCCTGAATAGTAAGGATTATAGGTGTGAGCCACTGGTGCCTGGCTTATTTCAAATACTTTTTAATAGATCCGGCATAGCTAAGTCTTGGCTGTCTAATTCAATATGACACTTATTAGCTTTACAATGAAGTGTTTAGTCTCTTGATATTAGTGTAATTACCAAGGAGTGAAACCATTATCCTATTTTGTATTTTCCATTTTTATCATCTTTTTGTTTTCTCTATTCCTAATTTCTTTCCGTGACTTTTTTTGTATTTTATTTTGGTTGTTTTATTTTAGTGATACCTGTTTTCATTCTCCATATGAACATTTAATAGTGGAGGTTTTTAACTGCCCGATTAATAAGTGGGCTAAAGACTTAAGATTTCTCTGAGGAGGAAATGAGAATGGCCAGTAGACACATAAATAAATGCTCAACTTCTCTAGCCATAAAAGAAATGCAAATCAAAATAATATTGAGATTCCCCCTCACCCCAGTTAGAATGGTTTTAATCAAGAAATCTAATAACAACAGATGCTGGAGGCGATATGGCCAAAAGAGAACCCTACTGTATTGTTGGTGGGAGTGTAAAATTCTTCAACCACTCTGGAAAGCAGTATGGAGGTTCCTCAAGACTCCACATAGAGCTCCCCTATGACCCAGCAATCCCACTTTTGGACATTTACCCAAAGGATCACAAACAAGGCCATACTAAAGCTACCAGCACAACTATGGTTATCACAGCATTATTTACCATTGTTAAGATATGGAACCAACCCAGATGCCCCTCAGTAGATGAATGTATCAAGAAAATGTTTTATATATATATACACACACACACACACACACACACACACACACACATATATATATATACATATATATATATATATATATATGGAATTCTATGCCTCTATTAGAAAGAATGACACCATGCCATTTGTTGGAAAAAAATTATAATATGTGAAGTAAGCCAGGTCCAAAGAAACATAGGTCCCCATGGTTTCCCTTATTTGCAATAACCAGTCTATGTCTAGGACAAGCAGAAAAGGTCAAAAGCTATATACATATGACCATATAAAATGATGCTACATGAAATGAACCCCAAGATAAGAATACAAGAGGTTTTATCTTTCTTGCTGTACTTATAATGCACTATGTGATTTTTTTTTTATTTCTTTGTATGTTCTTCCCCCATGGTACAACCCCGGTTGTCATTGTATTTGATTCTGGTTCCTGCATCTTGTTTATACATTTTTCTAATTTGGAGAGGGGAAAGGAAATAACAAAATGCTTAAATAGGGATACAGGTTGACCCATTGTAACAATGAGATGTACAAGACACTATGTTGAAAATGAACTTTACTACTCTGGGTGGAGGAAGGGAGGAGTTGCGGAGGTGGGAAGGGAAGAAATGGTAGGGGAAAAACAAAGGAGGGGTGACAATGCTCAATAGGAAATGTACTCATTACCTTGCTAATGTAACTGGAACCCCCCTGCACAGTATCTTTATAACAAAAAATATATATTAAAAATAGTAGAGGTATTTTTTACCCTAAACTTACTATACAAGTTAAATATAATGTCTATGCAACATGGAAAGAAGTTTTCCAAATATGAATTCATGTCACCATCATTTTCACTGTTGTTACTTATTTAACTTCTATAGCATATTACACATTTCACAATATAATACAAAATTTTGCTTCAAGAGGCCATCTATCAAGAATTAAGAGGAAAATTAAGGATAATCTTTGATTTTATCAACATAGTTACATTTATATTACTCTTCATCTACTCTTGTAGATTTAAGTTTTTATTTGATATTGTTTTTCTTTCAGTTGGAATTTTCCTGTAGTGTTTTTGTTATTAAGGTCAATGGAGACAAAAATTTTTAACTGTTGTTTACATCACGTTTCCTTTCTTTCATGAATGTGGTGAGGCTTCCTTGAGCCACTGAGAAATTCCTTAGAGTCTCAATTCTAGCACATTCTCTGGAACGTGCATATCAAACTCCCCCGCTCCAGTATGGATGTCAACAGTTCTATAGCTGAGCTGGCATGGCATGAGCTCATGCTTTTAGCCACCTGGGTCAACAGAATTGGCTAGATGTTTTGCTCTGGTTTTGAGCTAAGGGTTCATTCTGACTAGTGATTTCTATCTCAGACAGTACCCATTTACAGGAACTGAACATTTTCAGCCTTACCCTGCCTTTGTAGCAGAGAGGACTGTGGGCATCCATGCTCATTAAAACCACCAACATGCCAGGGGCTGCTTTTTCCCTTATTTTAATTGTATAGTTGTAGAAATGAAAAATAAAAAAAACACAAACAAATGATGAGATCTCATGTGCTGTTGAAGCTTTTTTAATTTATCTATTTTTATGAATGGCATTTCTACCTAGGTAAGAAACGATTGATTTTTATTGTTATTGTGGGGTTACACATGTGCCAAGGAGAGTAAGACATCTAATTTATGAAGAAATCACTGCTGAGATTTCATTGTTTGCTCTGCCACTTCTTACTCTTGACAGGTCTATGGAAATGCAGGACCTAGCAAGTCCTCACAGTCTTGTTGGCAGTAGTGATACTCCTGGTGGCTCCAAACTGGATAAATCCAGTCTCAGCAGCACGTCAGTCACTACAAATGGGACAGGAGGTAAGTGTGCCTTCCTTAAAAGGCTCACAATCACCTCTCAGTGTTTCCTCTGATTTCACATGTTAGAAATCTCCTAAAAAATGGGTATCTTATTATCTATGTCATAATCAGTGTTATATCCAAGAAATGCATAGCTAGTATATTATTAATTGTTGTACTGTTCTCATGAAACTCATGTTCTTCCTTGATAGCTAGAAATGTTAGTAGGAAGTAGAAAGGCCTAAGCAACATTTGAGGGCATTTAAAAGTTTTCTCTTTGTATTTTCCCTTGAACATATACTGCAGAATTTAGAAATTGTAGTCAGATATGTGCACCCTTACACCCCCCCCACACACACACATATACTTTTTGGTTTTATTTTGAACTGTAAAAGTTGTAGTCCAGTTTTTCATTAAAAGTTTTTTTCTTAAAAATGATTTTAGAAATATTCAAGTAGTTATATCTGCTGTATTTTCTTTTCAAAGAGAATAATACCATAATACCTGGTACTTATTTAAAAGGGAATTGTATTCTTTCTAGATACTTTCAGATTTTATTAAGTCATAATTAGGCTATAACATATAGCAAATATTTCAAATATTGTGCTTTACTGTTTTATAAAATGCATTCAATTTATCGGAACATATGGTCCAATTCTTGTAAGATTATGTATATATAGGGAGATAATTATATAATGTATATGCAGACATAATTTGTTGTTTACTGTTATTTTGAAATTTTGTGGATTTTGTCTGGCCCCAAAAGTAAAAGTAACATGACATTAGTTCTTTTTTTATAAGCTTTTCATATTGCCAAATGTCAGCATTTGCCACATCATATTTTCTTTTCAGTTTTAAATGAATATCCACAAAATTGACACCCCTCTTCCCACTGAATATAACTGTGCAACCTGTAATTTCCTTTGTCAAGTCATGCGCATTGCAACTTACCTTGTATTTAATAATGTTTTACACCAAACCCTTTGTAGATTAACATTCTTCTTGTTTATAATGTTTATTTGTCTCTAAACATGCATCTTTAATTTGAGCTAATTAATGAATATGGGATAGCAAATGTATAAGAATAATTTAGTCATGATTACCAAGGCAAAAAAATTTACATTTTCATTTTACCTTTAAATTGAGTACAAATAATATTGAAAATCCCAATTACTCTGGAAACAAACATCAAAGTTCATGAATCATATGCGTGTGTATATATATATATATATATATATATATATGACATTATCAACTAAACTGTAGAAGACCTACAATAAGTTCTAGTTTTGCTAAGATCTCGAAACTGATGCCAGCATTGAAGACTACTCATATACACTCAGCAGGCCTCAGACCATGAACTCTTACACTGTTCCTCTTCTCAGGGGACAACATGACTGTTTTAAATACAGCAGACTGGCTGTTGAGTTGCAACACCCCCTCTTCTGCAACAAGTATGGGAGACAATGGTACACTGCATGGTTTGGGTGTGTGTGTTGGCCTCTGGTTTGCTTTCTCTTGCTGTTTTCTGTTGGCCCCTCTTTTCTATGTTTGGTACCTGATAGACAAATGAGAAGTGAACATGCCTTTTACTTGGCTGTGTTGTTGTTGTTGTTGTTTCCCCAAAACTGGCAACCAAGTCTGAAAATGGTCTCATCAGTAGTATTCTTTGCACTCTACCACTCGAGCCACAGTGTCACTTCTGGCTTTTTTCTTTTTGCTTATGTGGTGCTGAGGAATCGAACACAGGGCCTCAGGCATGAAAGGCAAGCACTCTACCACTGAGCCATCTTCCCAGCCCAGTATTCTTTGCTTAGCTTAAAAAAATAATTTCACACAAACAGGTACATATACCAGTTTCCTAAGTACTTATCACATTGTTACACAGTTAATTCAGAGTAACGACAGTCCTACAAAAAGAGCACCTTAAGCTGAGTGAACCTGCATTAAGCCAGTTACCAAATAACCCATGAATTCTTAACATGGCAAAGGAATATTTACTATTTTACAGACTTCAATAAATATTACAAAACATCTAAAGTCATATTAATAATGAGTATCCCATCATGTTAAAAATTATCAGCAATGAAATCTGAGCACAGTTATAATCTAGCTACTCAGAAGCCTATAGTAGTAAGATCATAGGTTTGATAAAACTCAAGGTTCCCATCTCTAAATGAGTGAAGTATAAATAAACAAATATTGTTAGACACAGTGGTGTCCACTTATAATCCTAGCTAGTTAGGAGACAGAAAACAAGAGTATTGAAGTTGGAGGCCAGCACTAGCAAAACATAAGACCCCATTTCAGTTAAAAAGACAGTTATGGTGGTATATATCCATATTTTCAGCTATGTGGGAAACATAGGAGGATCATGTTCCAAGGCCAGATCCAGGCAAATATGAGACTTTATCAAAAAAATTACTAAAAAAAAGAACTGGGGTATGGCTTCAAGTGTTAGTGCCCTTGTCTAGCAAGTGCCTCACCCTGCATTCAAGCCTTAGTATTACCAAAAAACATTAAAAATATAAATTAATAATAAGTCTCTTAATATCTATAAATATTATCTGCATTCATATACAAACTTTGTGCTACAGAAAATATGAATATGCCATCAAAATTTGACATTTTGACAAAATTATCATACTACTAATGGACTGCCCATTTGAGATTTAAAAAGGAGAGCTTATGTCTACTGGAAGTGAGTATTAAAAGCATGCAGTTATAATAGACTTTGTTATAAGTGTACCTTTCTCCATTTCAAATTAAATACCGGTCTATGACTAGTGAATAAGAAGCACTCCATATTTGTACTTTTTTTTTGTCCATTGTGGGGCTTGAACTCAGGGCCTGGACGCTGTCCCTGAACCTCTTTGTAATCAAGGCTAGTGCTCTCCCACTTGAACCACAGTACCACTTCTAGTTTTTGAATGGTTACTTGGAGATAAGAGTCTCGCTCGGACTTTTGTGCCTGGGCTGGCTTTGAACCATGATCCTGAAATCTCAGCCTCCTGAGTAGCTAGGATTGTAGGCATGAGCCACCAGCACCTGACATTATTTGTATTTTTACTAGCACATAATTGCATACAGATTAATGGTTTAGTTATATTAATTTCAACGTACTTTGATCATATTCGTCCCTACCCTGCCTTCTCTGCCTCTCCCTTCTCCTTGTCTCAAATAGTCCTCATTCTACTTCCATGGATATTTTTTTAAACCTGGGTCACATATAAGAAAAAATGCAATTTTTACGTTTTTTGAGTATGACTTATTTTGCTTAACATGATGGTCTCCATTTCATCCATTTGAGTGCAATTGACACAACGTCATGTATCTTTGTAGATTGACTGTAACTCTACACTGCATTTTCTTTAGCTACTTCTCCATTAAAGGGCATCCAGGCTCATTCCATAACTTTCTTATTCTGAATCAAGCTGTAATAAACATGAATGTGGAGATATCTTCATTGTATGTTTCCTTCGCTTCTTTTGAGTAGATATCCAGGGACCCATGGCTGGATTATATGGGAGTTTTACTTTTAGTTTGTGAGGAAACTCCATCATGATTTCCATAGAAGCTGGGCTAATTTACATTCCCACACATAGTACATAAAGAGGTTTCCTTTACCCTCTGTACCAGAATTTACTGTGGCGTGTTTCCTTGATAGTATTGCTTCTTACCATAGTGAGAAAAAAATCTATATGTAATTTTGATTTGTACTTCCTTGATAACAAAGGATGTTGAACAATTTTTCATGTATTTCTTAACCATTTGTAATTCTTTTATGAAATACATAATTCTTTTACCCACTTATTGATTGAAATATTTATTCTTGTTAGTGTATAATTTTGCCTAATTGCTTTAGACAAGGTATTTCTATGTAGCCCAGGCTGACCCTAAACTTGCTATATAATGCAGAATGGCCATCTTGAAATCCTTGTGTCTTGGCCACTTGAGTACTGAGATTACACATATGCACGCCCAGCAATTTTTAGTTCTGTCTGTTTTCTATTATTACCTACTAGATGAATAGCTGGAAGCCTTTCTTCTACTCTATGGGCTGTCTCTTCCCTTGGGCAATTATTTTCTTTTCTGTGCAGAATTTATTTTAGCATGATGCAATCTCATTTATTAATGCTTCCTATTATTTCTGAACTATTAAGTCCAGAAAGTCATTGATTGCACCTAAAATTTCAATTATTTTCTCTACATTATCCTCCAAGAGTTTCAAAGTTTTAGGTCTTACATTAAGGTATTTGCTACATTTTGAATTGATTTTTTTGTGTGCAAGGAGAGAGATAGGAAGCCAGTTTCACTCATCTACATATCAGATAGTTGATTTTTCTAGCACCATCTGTTGAAAACACTATCCTTTCTCCAATATAGACTTTTGATAACTTTTTTGAGCATCATGTGTCTGTAGCTGTGCTGGTTTATTCCTGGTTTGTTTGTTCTGCTCCATTGGTCTGTATGTCTGTTTTCTTGCTGATACTGTGCTGATTTTCTTACTATGACTCTATAATTGTAATCACTATTTGTGATACTCTCAGCATTGTTCTTTTTGCTCAGGATTGCTTTGAGTAATCAAGAAATCTTGTGCTTCTATATGAATTTTAGGATTTTTTTCTGTGCTATTTGCTTTTCAGAATCTCTGTTGGATTAATTTCTTGCCATGTTATTCTCACTCAAGTTTGAATTACTTTTATCTGTTTATTTCAATTTCTGTTTGAGTTTGTTAGTCATTTTTAAAGGTTAGACATGTGAATTCCTTCTCTGGCATTTTAACAAGTTCAGTAGGTTTGGATCCAGTTATTGGGTAGTTGTGAACTGTTAGAGGAGTCGTGCTGCCTAGCCTTTTCATATTTCTTGTGTATGTAAGTTGCAGGTTTTCCCATCTATATAAATGGATAGCTCTTCCGGTTTTATATGGGATCTTCCTAGTGAGTAGCCATCTCTTGAGGACTTAATTCTCAGTACCTCTCAGGAGAAAATATCTATTATAACAATGACAATACCAAAATAAGTACAGAAACAAAATTAAAATCCCAAGCAAACTCCTAATCTATCATAGAACAGATAATGGCAAAAAAAATACTATATAATGAACTATGAAGTTAAAATTAATGAAGATAAAATTAACAACAAATGATGAGTGAAAGCAAGAGGGAGATAAGGGGGGAACGAAGCAGTAAATTTAAATAAAATACAAAGAAAGATAGCAAAATGAAGAAGACTATGGGAAACTGGGGGAGTAAAGTAAAATTTAAAAACCTGATTGCAAAATAAAGAAAAAACAGAGAAATAAAATTAGAACATAAATTCTGAAGTAAAATAAAGTAAAAGCAATAACAAAATCTAGTAAAAACATGTTTGAAAAAATGACAAAGAAAAAGAAATGACAAAGAATTGGAGAGGCTCCTGTCTGTGTCATCTGGGAGTATTTACGTCCTGTTACTTGGGGTAGTGCTAAGTGAGGGATCCAGACAGCTTCAGGGATGTATTCGCTGTAGAAGTTTCCCTTCTTTGTATTCCAGGAGCATCTGCTTGTTTCACTGAAGTTTGCACCCTTGAGCTGGAAAATTCCCATTCACTCAGAAGTACCCCAATTTGTACAGCAAGTGTCTACAGCTAGAGATGTCTCTCAACTCTGTCAGAGAGTACAGGAAACAGAGCACTGACATCTGCCCCCGAGGAGGAGAGAGAAGGGAATGGCATATTCTACCTGCCAGTTGCAATGCTTGCAGACTTTGACCAGCAGTAAGGGTAGAACTGAAGAAGGGTAGAACTGGGAAAACCTAGCTGTGTGGCCAACCGGATTCAGCTCTCTCAGTCTTGCTAGGCACACACAATAGGGAGACAACTCCAGGGACTGAGTGACCCCATGGCCTTGGCTCAAGGGACGAGCTCTGGTTTCTGTAATTGTCAGGCAGTGGACCTTGTTACTCACCTCAGAAGGCTGGGCTACTGGCCACCATGTGCTCCATTCTCTGTGCTTGCTGCTGCTTAAACTCCTCGCTCAAACCATGTCCTATCTTCCCACACCCTTTTGCCTTCCTCTTGTGATCATCTTCTTGGGCACTGAGGCATGGTGTCCTCTGAGTTGTAATTGTTCCTTGTTTTCAGCACCACAGAGTAGTAGCTCAGCTTTGAACAATGAGTCCCATCTCAAGATGGCACCTGGCCATAGCACTCCAAGGTATGCAAACAACTCAGTGAGTCTCTTCTCTGGTACTGGCACCCCATACAAGAGGATTCACAATTACAATGGATATCCCTACTGGCCTTAAGGTTTATAAGAGTTGACACAGCCTATGACTAGGACAGTCAATCTTTTGTCACCAGGGCTGCCTGGCTTGCTTTGTGATTGCTGCTTTGGGTTCCCCTCCACCTAGGGAGCCAAGCCTGAAGTTACAGGCTGTTTTCTGCTTGTTGTTGTGGCTTTTCTGTTTCTTTT